AGAGATAGAGGGAGAGAGAGAGGGAGAGAGAGAGGGAGAGAGATAGAGATAGAGACAGAGAGAGATAGATAGTAAACCAATTTGTTATTGTTACAGAACGTGGTGGCGCTAGTGATGATAATAGTGAAGTGGGCGATCCCGGATATGTCGGGCGAGCTGCGCGACCGCATCCGGCGCGAAGCCTACGTCATCAACAGCTTCATACTGGACGAGACGCGCGCGCGCACTCTAGCCGAGCGCACGCATTCGCGCGCCGACTCGCGCGCCGAGCGCACGCACTCGCGCACGGACGCGCGCGCGCAAGGTGCACACACTAGCGTATAGGACACGGCACGGTAGCGTACTCGCTTATTATGTGTGATATACTAACAACGGACCTTTGTTAACTGGATTTTTTTAAAGATTTGTTAAAAAAAATGTATTGTTTCATATATGTGATTTTATAGTTATGAATTAGTTAAATTATGAGTTTCGTTTTATAGTAACTTTAAAACTTAATCTAGTCGTTATAAAATTTAATTTGAACCTGATAAAATTAATGGATTCATTGAACTCGCTTTACTTTGTTTAACTTAAATTCTTATTTTCCTTACATTAAATGTGAAATAATACATTTTCATACATAAATTCTAGTCAATTATGTGATTTACTTCAGTTAACGAAGGCCGTATTTTAAGACTGTGTTGTGTGATATTTTACAGGAATGTTTTTAGATTAGATTTCCATTGCGCGTTCATTAGATATCCCCGTGTGTAACAATCGCCAGCGTTTCCCTCGAACATCATTTTATCGTATTTTTTGTGAAGCGTAAGTATCATTAAAGAACATGTTTAGTGTACACTCAGTGACAAAATTATGTAGTATAAAAATATGCTTTTGGGTATAAATTAATATACTTTGGTTATAGTTATTTAAGAACGTTTGTATATGTCAGATGCTTTGGGTTATGGAAGCTTGTAAAACTTGTATCGTAAAGGTTTCCACTACCGAAACAACTGTACAAAAGAATATTTCCGTCGCTCTTATTTTCTTTGTAAGGACGAAACAGTGATAGACTTTTGTATATCGTTTCGTGTGACAAAAATACATAGAAAATGTTTAAAATATTAAATAATCTTTAACGTATATATGTATTTATAAATACCGAGTAAAATGCTTATGTTGGACAATTGTTTTAAAATTAATGTTAAATTCTTAATTGTGTATACTACTTTCCCTTACATAGGCAAGATTTCTATCATGTTGACGTAAGTGTATATTTTTGCTTTCTTATTCTCGTAGTTGTAGTAAAGCTTTACTAAAAAGTAATTGGTTAGTCTTAATTGAATCTTATTAGTATGTGTTAGGGTTTAATTTCTTACGCTTTGCAATTAAGTAGATTTGATTTCACATGTTACATACATCCAACGCAGTCTTACCAAATGAAAGATCCTCAATAAATAATAAAAAAAAGTATTTTCTATATAAATTGAGATTTTTCATTTGGTTGTTTTACTAAGGCGAGCTTAGATAACTTAATTATAATTACACTAAGCAATACATTTAAGTTTAAGCTGCAGTTTCGAGTTCTCAGACGTGTGAGTGATTTTTTAAAATTTGAATTTGACTTACCGCATGCACTTAACCAAAAAACAAGACCTAAAATACTTAAATACTTTTAATATAATTTAAATAAGCATTCAAGACTATACATAAATGTATACTAACTATAAAAAATGTTGCCTTCATTTTTTTTAATTAAGGTATTTTTTAATTATTTGGCTACCCCAATAAATTGTAGTGTATAGTCATGAAGGCTTATAATTTAAAGATTTTTTTTATCGTAAATAATTAACACAGATTCTGGTAACACTTTCTTACAATATAGCAACACTCATTGTTAACTACACAGATTAAACACTAATTTACCACAGATTAAATTTAATTTCTATTCAACTAAATCGCGTTACGCTATTAATTGAATGGCTTTAACATTTTTGTGTTGGGTTTTCAAGTAGTTTATCTAGTTGTAAGGTGTATCGTGTGTTTTAGTTTTTTGGCTTAAGACACTATTTTAATATTTTTTATTGATGTCATGAATTTAAGCAATCCATAAATGTTACATAAACTACAGTTAAATATTATCGAATTAAATAATTTGCCAGAATATGATAGATTTAATTTTGAATAATAAATTCATGATGGTAAGTAAATATAGATTGCTCTTAAGTAAATAATGTACTTCACACTCATATCTGTTTTATGAAATAATAATATCTCACGTTTTAATATAATTTATTGTAAAATCAGGTGACAGAAGCGATTCTGATTGGAATCACATAGCATCGCTGTCGGGTTCAGACTTCGATCTGGCCGCGCACGGTGACCATCAGAATATCGCGGATATTGCCAAGCATGTGGTCACAAACACGCCGAAACAGGAGAAGCCCGGACCGGCTCATGTGTAGTCACCATCAAGGCGGATCTAGATGTGTGGTCACCATATTTTTTGACAACGACAACGTATGCAACAGATGTTAAGGTCTTAATATGCTGGTTGACCACACAATGAGACTTGGTCCATTTTATTGTCACCATCATGTAAGATGTTCTGTACTTTTTGGTTAGTTGTGCGATACTGTATGATACGTAACCTTTGCAGACAATCAATTAAGTAGTATTATTTAAGCTTTTAATATTTATTAAAAAGTGTAATTTTGGGTTAACACATATTTTGCTAAATAATGATCGTAAAGACTTTTCGAAATTGTTGACTTTTATAGCATTTTTTATAAACGTTTTTCACGTTTGTAAAATAGGAATGAATGAAAATTTAAAAGAAAAATTCAGACGCACATTGCATAAGCTTTCATATAGAATTTAATAAAATATTGTAGATTTGACTCTATTCCATCAAACTACAAACTCTTGCATATCGATTGAAATAAAACGAAGGGCTCGACTTCACTTTTACTAAAAGCATTTATTCCATAAATACGTAAAATTTAATAGAAAACCAATGTTAATTTCTCAGAACTGATTTTAGAAATTGTTGTTTTATTATCTAGTAGTATTATTTGTTTTGTTGTTAAAGTGCAATATAAAAATACACGAGCGACGCCAGGTGGAAACTACTAGCTAGCTTATAAGGTATATAGCATATCGGTTAGCATATAATATATACATCATAAATATCGTCAAGTAATCTCATTAGAATCATTAGAATGTTTAGAAATTCTCATTTTTAGCTAATGTTCATATTTTATTTACAATTCTATTTACAATTCTAGCAGTATATTATATTATATTACGCTTTTGTCATCTGTCTCGACACTAGAATCTTTAGCATTTTTATATTTGTACTTAACTGCGGATATGTTTCCTATCTGTACAGTCAAAGAATTTATTTCGTTACCCATTTACAATCCAATATCGTGCTGCTATTTATCTCTATAGATATAAACCGTATGTCTAAGGGCCTGTCCCACCAAATTGTAAATAGTCTGACAATCCATCGTGTAAAATGTGTGATGGAAATATCGGATTTCGTTTCCTTATCTGACAGTGACGTTATTACTATCTGAGCCTATATCAGCCAGTGGTGGGACAGGCCCTTATTGTTACTTTTTTCCTGTGCTTTTTTCTAGTGTATTGTAAATGTCAAACACACAAACATGGGTAGGTAATAAACGTCCCCGACTATATTCGGTTCCTAACCTCGCTTACGTATTTGAATATTGTTTTACATGTAAGTTATTGGGGTCGTATTTTTTTAATATAAATTATGCTTGCGATGTACACTTATGATAATAAGGGGAATTATTGAAAGATTGTAGTCAGTTTTACGGAATCGAGTTTATTATATTTTATGAAAATATTTATAACAATTTAAAACAAGTCTTGATTGTTAGTGGTTGAATAAAATTTATTTTCTCTAAATAATACAGGTAATAACCAAGTTAATGAATCTCACTCTTATTTTATGAAATCTATATAAACATTATTTATTTTAAGTATGTCTATATATAACGTAAAATGTACATTTAGTTCACATTAAAGCAATTTAAAATGCCCTTAGAATATTAGAATCTTTACTTCAATATACTCCAATTGTAGAAAAGATATTTTAAAAAAAATCGTGTGTTCACTAAACAATAAAATTTATCGATAATGCGAAACAATACTTGTTTACATAATAAATATTTTTAAATATTGAAAATTAATAATTCCAAGATAAAATAGTTTAGAGATCGATTCTATGGTTAATGGGTTCGGTCGTATCGGTAATATTTTTAACTTGTACCTCATATCAAAATACACTGATTTTTTTATATCTATAGCTTAAGGACAAATCAATAAAACGCTTGTTAAAAAGGTATAGTTTATTGGCATTTGTTTTTAATAATTAAGGTGCTATCTTCTATATATCATGAGACAGATAAAATGAAAAAATTATACATACACTAAGTGGGTTTATATCGTAAGAAGTAACGATTTTGTTTATAGTTCTGTTAATACAGGGCCTGTCCGAACAAATTGTAAATTGTCTGATAACAATCCAACGTGTTTGTGATGGAAATATCGGATTTTGTTACCTTATCTGACAGTGACGTCATTTTTAAGCTATCTCTGCCTCTATCAGACAGTGGTGGGACAGGTCCTTGGAGGTTCTGTTATTTAATGCTTGGAATTACTGTAAAATATGGTTTAAAAGTAAATTTAATAAATTGTGTACGAAGTATTGGATAAATATTCCTTTTTTATATACTAACTGCTTCATTGTTAAAAATTATTGCAAATTCAAAGATTTTGGCTGTTATTTGTCTACTAGTCGATAATATTACCAAAATGTACTAATAATGTTTTGAAGTGTAATATTTTCATATGTATGTGTTGAAAAATTGGCTGTTTTAATGTAACTTCTATAATCGTAATTATTTATAATAATATTTTTTTTCTATTTTTTTCTATAATATATTTGTTTTTTTTTACAGACCTACTGACGTCTACACTTACATTTAAGTACATATTTTTAATCACAAATACTGTAGTTGGTGTGATATGAAATCGCTTTCGATGTCCATTTAAGGTTGTTAACGCAGTTAAACGTAAAACGCTTGTATTTATACAGTTTATATGAACAATATATGGAAAGTTGAATCATTTTATTGTTTTTTATTTCATCCCTTTCAATCTTAGATCTGGCAAAAGGTTAAATGCCGACAGATCGAAAGCGTCTGTCGCGGTTTCTGTACAAATTTTATTGAATAATTCAATTTCCCGCCAAAACAAATCCCCCTTGATGAGAGAATTAAATGAGATTATGCCATCACATATTGATACAAACTTGCCAGTTACCTCGTGGCGGTGGACGAGTGTGCATGTGCGTTGCAAAACAACTAAAAATAATTGTAGACCTTTAAATAAATCTATGTGATAAATTAATTAATTTTAAATAAATTACGTACTGTAACTGTGAATAATGATAAAACCTTAGTGTAAAGACATTTTTCAGTTTTAAAACTGAAGTAGAATAAACCGTAAATGTAAGTAACTTTGATTCATAATAGTCGTAGTAAGGAAATGCTTTGAATTCCATAGTAACGTACCAATGTGATTGTTTACATTATCCCAGTAAAGAGCAACAGTAGCGCTCTAAATCAGCGCTGGCATATACTAGAACAATGTAAACAGTAATTGGCGCCAGTAGGCCCATATCCTTAGGCCTGTGCTACTGTCGAACTATAACATTAACCAGACAAGCACTGGCATCAATGAAAATTTGACAACGAAGAGTACAGTATTTAAAAAGTTTAGTAACAAACGTTTCGTGAAAAGTCACACTTTTAACATATTTATTTGTAATAGAACCATTTGTTCGATATAATTAAAACTTTTTAATTTTCATTACAATGTATAAAACCAGAAAATAGTGGTTTTTTTTTTAATTTACAGTAATAACGGGAAGAAGGAAATTAAATATACTCCGATAATCATAAACTTATAAGCTAAAAATCGATCATTTCAAATCTTAATACACTTAAAGGCGTGTAATTACTCGAATTTTAACATTGCTGTAAACTTAGTTATTAGTAAATTCTCAAACTCGTTGTAAATCAGTACTAATTGGTTGGCAACCTTGCGGATCTCTGAACTACGTACGTTCCTTCTAGTGAAATACAACCGAAACAATAGTAGAGCACCTGTTGTATGAATGGACTTATTCACGTACATAAGTCAGATAACATGTTTAAATAGAAGCGTAAGGGCCTGTCCCACCACTGTCTGATAGAGGCTCAGATAGCTTAAAAATGACGTCACCGTCAGATAAGGTAACAAAATCCGATATTTCCATCACATACGCGTTGGATTGTTATCAGACAATTTAAAATTTGGTGGGACAGACTCTAAATGTTATTTATTTCGTTTGCAGTGATATTTCGTTCGTACCTCCGTACATCCCATTTCGTAGCCTAACCCTTTCGTCTAATCCATCATACATTTCAAGGAAAATACTGGCAACTTATCGTTTTTTTTTCCATTTTGTTTGTCACCGTGGTATCATTGACAAGATGAGCCGGTTATTGCTTTTTCTACTACTAGCTGTTGCTGGCCACTTCCCTCGCGTAAAATTAAAAAAAATATCGCCTATGTTACTCATAGGTAACGTAACTTTTTAAGAGTGAAAGAGTTTTTGAAATCGTCTCAGTAGTTTTTGTTTTGATTTATTTCAATACATTCAAAAATACAACAAGATCAGGGACTTCCCCTATTTTTGCAAGTCACTCATTAACAGAAGGATGATGTATTTAATTTATGTGAATACATAATAAATTATCTATCTATAGTGCATCTATTAGACACGTTTAACTTCTATTGTTTAGATGGCATTCTGTTGCCACACACTGTCTATGTTCATGTAATCTTGTTTACATCCACTTAACTCGTGCATTGAATTTAGTTAAACGATGTTAGCTGATATTGCATTATAATGCGGAGTCGGTTGCACTTGTTGGCAATTTATGGCTAAACGATTTTCCTTTTAAACTAGTTGCGTCTGGGATAACTTTTTAAACGCTTCTTGAATTAACAATTGTTATATCTCATTAAGGAATATTGTATTCAAAATATATTTTTATATGAGGACTAGTTGTTGCCAGCGACTTGGTCCGCATGAAATTGTGAAAATTTTAATTAATTGTTTACATGTGTCAAATTATGAATAGCAAATGTCAAAATGATATGACATGACACAGCATTTTATGGTCTCTTCCCACATTAGGGTTTTTATCCAAAACAGTTACCCCCTAAGTTTAATGGCGCGAAAATATATAGCCTATAGTATGACGTAAGTGTAGGGCTTTTTATTAAAAAAAGAATTATTGAAAAATATTTTAGGCATGAAATTTCAGGCATTTTAGGCAACAAAGAAGTGTGTGTTATAATAGTATAGATAATGTCTACGTATACTCGTGCTTACTTACATTCTTTTGATCTTTTTAAAACGTTTTTTAAATTTCTCATGGTTAAATGATAGTGGACAAGTTAGTTCTTACGCAATCCATTTCAGATAATACCATGAAGTTTAAATTAGATTACACGACATCAGCGTTGAGTGCGAGCCGTATATCTTCTTAGTATGTTGAAGTATTAAAGTGTCTTTTATCTATTATTTAAACTTTCGTAAG